GGGCGGCGGGGCGCGGGGCGGCGGGCGCTGCCATTGGCCCGGCTGTCATGTGGTCGCGCGGAGGCATCCGCAATTACACGGGAATGTTTTCCTAGAGATGTCAGCCTACAAAGGACACAATCTCTCTTCCTCAAATTCCGCCCCAAAATGTCCTTTCCCAACAGCTCTCCTGCCGCTAATACTTTTTTAGTAGATTCTCTCATCAGTGCGTGCAGGAGTGACAGTTTCTACTCCAACAGCGCCAGCATGTATATGCCACCTAGCACAGACATTGGGACGTATGGGATGCAAACCTGTGGACTCCTTCCGTCTCTGGCTAAAAGAGAAGTTAATCACCAAAATATGGGTATGAATGTACATCCGTATATACCTCAAGTAGACACTTGGACAGACCCGAACAGATCTTGTCGAATAGAGCAACCTGTTACACAGCAGGTCCCCACTTGTTCCTTCACTACAAATATTAAAGAAGAAAGCAATTGCTGCATGTATTCCGATAAGAGATCCAAACTCATTTCTGCAGACGTCCCTTCCTACCAGAGGCTGGTGTCTGAATCATGCCCCATTGAGAACCCCGAGGTTCCCGTCCCAGGATATTTTAGACTGAGCCAGACCTACGCCACTGGGAAAACCCAAGAGTACAATAATAGCCCTGAAACGAGTTCAACTGTAATGTTACAGTTAAACCCTCGCGGCAGCTCCAAACCGCAGATATCTGCTCAACTTCAGCTGGAAAAGAAAATGAATGAAAACCCGAACAACCAAGACAGCACCGCTAAAGTCTCTCAAGTGGAAAGTCCCGAGCCCAAGTCCACGTTGCAAGACGAGCGGAGCTGCCTGCCCGAAGGCTCCGTGTCCAGCCCAGAAGTCCAGGAGAAGGAGAGTAAAGGTCTGTATTACCGAGTTTAAGCCGTGCCGTGGTGTAACTCCAACACGCCAGCACCATAAAGCACGCTCGAATATACTAACGAGCATCACAGCCATCACATTTAATGCTAAGGAGTATCGGGCTGCAGGTGCTGTGTCTCTGAAGATTTTGGCAGGCAAAAATGCCACACAAAAGGGTCCAAAGATTTTCGGTAGAGATCTGCCTCTCTCGTGCATGCAGACCGCCTCTGTGATGGGGGGAATAGCCGTGTGCTCCTTAAGGCGCTGCAGCAGCCAAAAGCAGCCCCATACCTCTAAAAAAGCAGGTCTGGAGGTTGTAAAATACGACCAGCTCAACTTCTCTCTCGTAATATTTCGCTGATTTTTTTTTTTTTTTCCACTGAGCCTTACTGCGGTTTGATTGCATTTAAAGTTAATTACGATCCTATTAAAATAGGTGAGGAATAGGTGCTACCAGGCTGGGTAAAGTTGGAAACAAACGCACAATGAAAGCAGCAGCCCGCTATCTGCCTGGTCCAAAGGTGGAATATTTCAATGTGGTGCTTTAGATAACCTTGGGTTGGTCTCCAAAAGTGCAACAGTATTTTGAAATGCCTTTGAAAGCTAAAGGTGGCGGTAATCTGATTTTATTTTCCCTTTAAAAGTGCACCAAAGCCTTCCTTTCGAACGGCGTGTGTCGAAGAATCCCAAAACGGGAAATTTTCTCCTATCAAAATGTACTTTGCAACCTCTAGGTCGATTTTTACCCTTCGCGTGCATGGAGATTCTCTTTATCTGCATTATATTTAACAGTCCAGGTCTAGGTTGATGTGGGGCAGATTTCTTTCTGCTAGGGAAAAAAAAAAAAACAACTGAAAGGAAAATGGAAAAAAAAAAAAATCCGAGGCAGAGGGTGTTAATTTCTTGTATATCTTTTTGGCTGGGTAAAACGTCTATGTCTTCTCCTAGGTGTGCTTGTGTAATTCAGCTGATGGCTGGGGGGATGCTGCTTCAAAATACAGCGCGAGGGCATTTTGAAATTGGGATATTTTCGTAGCAAGTGTGGTGGGAGCCTGAGGCGGCCATGGAGAGGCTAGACCCGTTAAAATGTGGCCATGGGGCTGATGGCAGGTTAAATACTGTTGAAATGCTGAACGCCAGCCGAAAACTTGAGAGTCCCTTTCTGGCAGGGGCAGGAGCGCGGGCG